CTGTCATGTGGATATATTTTGTATGTAAGCTCCTTTAACTTAAGTCAGAAGTACAATATCTCCTTGACTTCCTCCCAGAGAAGGGACATAGGAGGTGACTGTTCTACTTCTTTGTCCTCTTGAGACATGGATAACCCAGTTCACTTTTCCCCTGTGAATTCTGCAGACAATTTAACTTAATGCTCCCTAGAAAATGGTACACAAAATGACTGTAGAAATAGCGCCATGTCTAGGAGATGGAAAGTAAATGTTACAAATACACTTAAAGAACTCGTGTGTTTCTGCTGTGTGTATGTTTGTGGCCCTAAAATTCACGTGAGGCCTAATAAGGACGGTGTTGGAAGATGAGGCTTTTAGAAAATTCTGTCATGCAGATAGAACACTAATGAATGAGACCGGGTTCCCAGTGAAAGAACCCTCAGACATTCCTTTACCCTCTTGCCTATCATGTGAGGGCACACAAACACTTAGTTTCTATGAACCAGATACCACATCTGCTCTTGCCTTTAGCTAGGATTTCACGAGTACAGAACTGTAAGAGTTGAATTTGAGGGTTTTATTTCACTTTTAAAGTGTAATGAAGTTGCATACCATCCCCCTTCCTCCCAGCTAGGGTCTCTTTTTACAGTGGTCACAATAGAAAGTATGTTTTAAAACTTAATAAATATCAAAACATACAGAAAAATAAGTTATTTTCATGAGTTTAAAAATGCATGTGAATGACTTTTCAGTCAAAATATATCTTTAAAAATGTCCAAATATTTTGCAATGACAAGAAAAACATATATACAAAGCCTTCATGTTCCAAAATTTCAGAACCAGAAAAGATACTTAGCCAATGTGAACACTTTTTATTTTTAAAATGTTAAGTTTGCACTTATTGCTGGTTAGCTATAATTTAGAGGAATTAGGTTTGTTATGTTCTTTAAACTACTCACAATCTTATTATATCTAAAACTGTAATTATAAATTAAAACAGTTCATTGCTCCACAATTTAAAGGTCTGAATATCTTTTTATCCATTGTCCTGTGCATAGCTTTCTAATTTTACATTATTGAAAATTTACCAAACCCTAATTCCCAGCACAATACAAAAAAATTATCTGAGGTTCCATTAAGTTTTCTAGAAGACTCAATCTCAAAATTAAAATATGAAAATCAAACACCCATCCTTATGATGGCTACATTTTTTTTCTTTCAAGTGTATTCAACTAAACTGCCTAGATGACTTACATAATTTGAAGTTAAGAAATAAGGAAAACCCCATTTCATGAGACATTCTTCCCGAGGATAACAAATTCTCACATGTTCTCCCATTTAAATCTTTATTGTTTTGTTTTTGTTGTTTGAGACAGGGTTTCTCTGCGTAGTCCTGGTTGTCCAAGAACCTACTTTGTAGACCAGGGTGGCCTTGAACTCACAGAGATCTACCTGCCTCTATAGCATGATTAATTAAAAAAACAAAAAGAGACAGAAATTGGAGTTCATCCTGAATGTCAGAAAAGCAAAACAGCCAGCCACTGGCTCTTACCTCTACCTCAGTCTGAAATGGTGATCCTGCCCCCAGGAATCTCAGAATGAGACTGAGCATGAGAGATGACTCCTCCCATCTCATAATTCTCTCTAGGGCTGGGATTAAACGTGCTTACCATTACTGCCTGGTTTCCTTGGCAAACTAGTGTGGCTACTGGTATTAAAGGTATGTATCACCACTGCCTAGTCTGTAAGGCTAGTAAGTGGGGCTGTTTTACTTTCTGATCTTCAGGTAAGGGTTATTTATTAAAATACAAATAAAATATTACTACATGCCTCTGTTTCTCAAGTGCTGGGTCTAAACACAAGTGCCACCTTGCCTGGGTTGCCATTTAGTCTTAAAGGTTGTTTTAAAACAGAAAAAGGAAAAGCTAGCTTCTTGAGGCATCTAGATGGCTGAAAAAGAAAAGAAAACTGGATTTTTTTTTTTTAAAAAAAAACATGTAGAACAGAATCTACAGATTGTAGCCGAGGCTGCATATCAACACCAGTACCGTTCAGAGAACCATTGGTAAGCTGATCTTCGATCTCTTCTCAAGCTTTCCTGAGATGCCTTGAGTCAGAAGAACTTAGATGAGCAGCATCCAAATTCCCCATGTTTAGAAATGGATAAAGTAATAGACATTTGTCTTGCTTGAACGCCTGCCTTTCTAGAGTAGTGTGCTATACTGAATCATGATTCCACAGAACTTCTGTGAAATATAGGAAGAGAACCCAGCCATGAGCAATCACAGTGCTGTGTGGACCCAAATTATCATGTAAAAACTATACTGATTACAACACTGTTTGGCCAGTGACTCAGGCATATTTCTAACTAGCTCTTACATCTTAAATGAATCCATTTCTATTAATCTGTGCATTGCCATGAGGCTGGGTCTTACCAGTACGTTTCTGGTGTCTTTTTCCTTTGGCAGATACATGGTATCTCTGATTCTGCTTTCTTTCTCCCGGCATTCAGTTTAATTTTCCCACCTACCTATATGCTGCCCTGCCACAGGCCAAAGCAGCTTCTTTATTAACCAATGGTAATAAAACATAGCATACAGAGGGAAATCCCACATCACAGAACAGGACAGTGTCCATCTAAGATCATATAGTTAGTAGCCAAAGGAAGCTGAAGCCAGAGAGACTAGGAGAAACAATCCTGTCCAACCTTTCATCCCACCACACCATCAAGATCTTTAGGAAGTAAAAAAAATATCATTTAGACAGCAAACATTGAAACAGTTGTAACTAAATATTAACTTATCGCTATCTAGTGTCATTTTTTTCTTGTCTCAGATGATGTTTTATTAATTTATATTAGAGCCAACTTGCATATTTGCAGTTAGACAAAGTAGAAAAATTATTTAAAATATCTGATATGGATTAAGATATTTTAAATTAAATAAGTTAAATCCCAAATTTAACCACTGATGCAAGTGTTTACAGAAACCACACTTGATCGGTGTTTGTACAAGATATATTTAGGGCCTATAATGTGTGTCCTCCGTTTTCTCATGTTTCAAAATGACAATCTTTTAACATAGCTTACTTTCTTTCATATCATTAGATCTCCCTGGTTTGCGCCATGACCTTCGGATTAAACTATCCCAACTGTACTTTTCCATAACTTGTGCTGTTTTATCACTGAAGAAAATAATTTTTCTGTGATTGCATTTAGTTATTGTACCCTTGTGTTTCCTTTACAAGTGGGGATGCTTATACATTTAGGGTTCCATTATGTTGAGCTATGTAACCTAATAGTTCTGCCTATCTAGCATCATTTTAAAAAGAGAGAATATGGAGAAGACATTTGATTTTAAAAAGAAGAATAAATAACACATCCCAAAATGCATGCCAACATTTGAGATATCATTCTATTTTAGATGTGCCAGAAAATATCTTAGTCCAGGTGATATGTTCCTACAGAGTGTTTGTCCTGATTTCTCACTTTTCCTTCCTTGAAACAAGGACAAATAAGAACTGTGAATCTAAAGTATCCATGGGCAATGAGTCTACACCTTTGGATTTCTGTGTAGACAAACTGAACTAGGAGATTCTATTGAAACTGTAAGAGAACAAATAATTGATAATAACTACAGAAGTTTCTGGCTTATTTCAGATCTCCTCAGGAAGGGACCCATTCTCCTTCCATTTGATGAAATTTTACTAAATATACTAGAGGAGTGAGGGGGTACCCTGGAGTCTGGACCTGCAGCTCAGTGACAGAATGCCTACTCAGCATGTGTAACGTCCTGAGTTCAAAACACAGAAAGGGCCTAAAAGCTCAGTCTACACAATGCTATGCCTCCAGATAAAATCAGAGTAGCAAGAAACATCAAGGACTGTAACAGAGTTTAGAGGGTCATAGACTAGCATCATGAAATGATTACTGAATCTTTTTTGTTATTGTTGTTAAAAGTTGAATAAATAGCTTATCCCCCTTGAATAAAACAGGGCATTAACAGAACACAAGTTGAGAATATTCTACTTCTATGAGTATATATTCAAATATTGTTACCATGAAGGAAAACTAAGAATGTTTCTACAATCTCAGTATGTCTCCTTCAGGAAGTGGAGGTATCCACACATGGGAACGAGTTTTGTACATTTTATTATTTGTGGTCTTGTTGACTGAGACAAGAATTTTATGGACAAATTAGATTGAGTGGAAAGGATCAAAATGCAAAGGTTTAACTAGCCTCAGCCACCTTTCCAGACAGAATTCTCCTTCAGGGTCTTATTTCCATCTACAACTAGAATTCTAAAGGTCTGTGTGCAGGGAAATCTGCCTCTGCCCTAAAGGACGGTGCTTCTGTGATTAAGTGCTGAGCACCTGCTTTCCGAATCCAATTACAGCAGAGTAAGTGGGGGTGAGCCACAAGCCTTTTGTGTGTCTGTGTACTGAGGCCATATGCTCCTTTTCTCCACTTTTGCAAGCAACATCTGAACTTTAGGAGAAAGTAAAATAATGGCTGTACAAATGGCAGCAGCAAGCAGTCTGCTGCTCAGA